CTGTGGTGTCTCTGGGGATGGTCTGTTTACAGGTGCCCTGGACATCCATGTGGGGCTTTTAAACAGCTGTAACGCTGTAGATGAGATCCCTCCCCCAGTGCACCTCTATCTGTCTGCATGCATCATTTCTGTGAGCTTAACTGTGTGTCCACAAATATTATTAGTTTATCCGTGTGGCTTAAATCCTCATGAATGATAAATGTGATTCCCTATACTTCACAGCTGTAACAGGTCTCACGGAGAGAACTATTACAATCATGTATATTTTGTCTTTTATTGCATATTTTTTAAAGCACAACATCTTTTTAAGTAATTACCAACTCTAAGTCAGTACTATTGCAGTGTTAAAGGTGACTGGACTGGTAGATTTAACAATAAGCCAGATAATTTGTCAGGTTTTCCCAAATGCCGCATTTGGAGACCCAATAATAGAGGTGAGGCCTTGGAGACAACATTTACCCATGTCAGCATCCACCTGTCAGTCAATGGGACCATACACCCAACCTTTATGCCGTATAAACTAAGCCCTGTATAGGCTGTTATCATTTTATAGTTAAACTTGTATGTTTTTAACATGTCTTTGGGGATTGGCTCGCTATCAGAGCTGGCCTTTAAATGTCCACTAGAGGAACTGCGGTTTTTGGCCTTGCTCACTTTATTTTTCAGCCCTGATAGTTGCTGCTTGGTTTTACACATATAAACAGAGACACGGAGAGTGACTCATGCATGAGAAGTAATTGCTCACACTACCTGCCTTTATGCTTTTATAGGTTTACTGTATGAGTGTTACCTTGTTGCTGCAAACTGGGATTTAGTTTATTAGTGTTTGGAGTGAATACACAGACACACACACGGACACACACAGACATACTAGATGGTGCTAGCTGTCGGAAATGAGGAATACAGTATGAATCTGCACATTCAGACTAACTTTTTCCTGACTCTGGTTCTTCCTGTCTTCCAACCTGCATGCACAATCATGAACTTGTCGCTGATCTTTGACCTTTCTGCTTTTGTTTTGAGAATATTCGTGTCATGCATGCAGTACTGCTACCCATGGGAACCTGATTTTGAACTGCCAGGAACACTTTGGGCTCTTTCCAGCAGACCGCCCTGCCCTTGCTCTGGATACGGGCTAAACTTCACCATGGTTACAGTCTTGCCATGGTTACTCTTCCCAAACGTTGCCGTGGCTCTGTTCTCTCACCATGGTTACTCATAAACCCTTCAAGCGTTGTTTGATCCCAGATCTTCTAACTCAGAGAAACATTTAGCTGGAGGCTGGGCGTCCTCACAAACCCGCCTGTGTCGTCTGTCATACCTGGACTTCATAGAGGGGGTGGGTTTGTTTCAAGAGTCTGATTGGCCGGAGACACGTTCCAACTGTGCTTATACTGCATGAATAGTTTTCCTGTATGAAGAAGATTACCTCTTTGAAAGACTACACATTGAACCTTGAGTTACGTGTAACTGTTTCTTATGTGTTCTGAGACGTAAAGTGCAGTTAGGGTATAAGTCAGAAGAGTTCATACCGTAACGTCTGTGGCTTCTGGATGTCATAACAATGTTAAAGTAGCGAGCAGTGTTTATGCATGCAGTAATGTTTATAAAGCCGTGGCACCGCTCATAGGAATATCACTTCACACTGGTGACGGCTTATCTGAAACATGTGTGTGCAATAACGAGTAAAACATCTGTGTACTGAGAGAAACACGGATCCGATGTGTTTGGAAATTTCTCTCTTTTTGTTCAGTAATAAGTTTGTTACAATTTTCCATAAATGAGCAAACAGAACCAAAACCAAAATGTAGTGTGTTTATATATATACATGTAAATATTTCTTAGACTATTTATTATGTGTTGTCTGCTTAAATAATTAGTGGCAGACTTCAAATTATGTGTGATTGCATTTCCTTGTTGTACAAATAAACTAAGTCAGAGAAGCCCAACGTGCAACAGACCACTCCTCTTGTACAATTTTAGACAAAAATTTTGCAGCAGTTCAAAAAGCGCAACATACTGTTCTGATGGACTTTCTGTAAGATCCAAATTTTCCACATTTTTCCAAAAATGTCCCAAGACCTTTTTAAATACAATTAGTTTACTTTATTAGGTAGACCTCGCTAGTACTGAGTTGGATCCTTTTTTTTCATCAGATTTTGGATTTTTGTCTGAATTGACACATGACAGCATCACAGTTACTACAGATTTCTTTATTTCATCATGCGAGTTTCCCGTTTTACGACATCCCAAAGGTGCTCTGCTGGACTGAGATCTGGTCTCTGGAGGTCGTTTGAGTTTATTAAACTACTTGTCATGTTCAAGAAGCTAATATGATATGATTTGAGCTTTGGGGCACGTTATGCTGCTGGAAGGCCATTCAAAGATGGTCTCACAGTGGTAATAAAGGGATGGACATGGTCAGGAACAATACAACAGAAGTCGAGACTCAACTGGGTAGCGTTTTTCCAATTTTCTGTTGTCCAAGAGAGTCTGTGTGAATTGTAGCTCAGTTTCTTGTTTTTAGATGACAAGAGTGGCACCCGGTGTGATCTTCTGCCCGTGTGTGTATGTGTGTGTGTGTGTGTTATGACTAGGGATGGGTATTGATAAGATTTTCACGATTCCGATTCCATTTTCGATTCTGTTTAACGATTCGATTCTTTATCGATTCTCTTATCGATTCTTTTTTTTAAAAAAGGAGAACATTAAGTTCGATTAGCTTAGAACTTTGTTTTATATCTTCTCTTTGAACAAGATAGAAATTTAGGAGTAACATGGCCTTACAAACCCAACAGTGAGATCTTAAGAGATCC